AAACTAGAACTTATAGGAAGCCGATAAGTTCTTTGTGGGATCGACCCCGTACTTACATAATCTTTACTTCATTAGATTCGTGCACTTGCGGGTATTTTTAATTGGTTGTTTGCACATTAATTTGTGTCCTTTTAAGAATGCAACAGAACCCTGCCGAGAGTAAGTTCACTTGAGTTTTTTTTTTTATTTTTTTAATATACTTCTTCGGCTAACTCCACCGTTCCGTTCTTGCAGTGTCAGAGGCCAGGAAGACTGCCGAGGCCAAGAAGATGTCGGAGACCTCGAAGAGGCGCCTCCAAGTGCTCGCAAAAGGGAAAAAGCAGAAACGGCAGCCAGAGGCTTCTGCAGAGAGGGTCGCCTAGGCTGACGTTGAGGAGCAGCCTCTTTCCGAACGGCACAGGCAGCGCCATACTGAACCCGCCAGCAGAAGGGTGCCGGTGGAAGAACCGGTAATCAGTCCGAGGCCGGGTGCCGATGCGGCCACCTCCAAAGCATCCGGGAAGCGGCCTGTTCAGGTGGATCTGGATGCCGTATCCACTCCTAAGCGGGCGCGGCTGGCCGATTCCCAGAGGGCCATCTTTGCCGCTGAGGACGAAGGGGGGCCTGCTGAGGCGGTCACACTGGCATGTCCCTCGAAGACGGTCCAGTTTGCGAACCACATGATCGTGGGCTCGCAGATGGACTCGGCTGAGATCGACGAGCTGCCGAAGAGGGCTCTTCGGGAGGAGGCTGGGCGAGCCTTCCGTCTGCAGGCCACGGTAACCTTCTAACTCCTTTGGTCTTTTTGTTGTTTTTATCTTTCGTTCGGTACTAACTTGCGGCTTCATTTTTCAGGCATCGATGGACATGTAGCTGTGCATGAAGAGGGCCATCACAGCTGCCGAACGCGCGAAACGGCTCTATGAGGACGGCCACTCCAAGGTTGCCGATGCTGCGAAGGCTCTCCAGGACCACGCCCATCTCGTGGAGGATATGCATGCTGCCAAACGGCAGATCCAGGCGCACGAGGCGAAGCTTGCCGAGATGCGCGAGGCCCTGGACGGTGCGGAGTAGGCCGTTAGGGATGCCGAGGGTGCCAAGGTGGCTGTGCAGGCGGCACTCGAGGCTTCTGAGCGGTCGAATGCGGTGGAAATAGAGGCTGCCGTTGGTGAGGCGATTAGGAACTACCGTTCCTCCACTGAGTTCACTTCTTTGGTGGACAATGAAGTGACTGCCGAGATGGCGGACCTCATCTACCGTTTCAAACGGTTTAACCCAGGGCAGAAGCTGAACCTGAATTTTGCTGCCGATCCCCCTCCTCTACCGGAAGGTATTACAGAAGAGATGATCGAGGACAATGAGGGGGAGGATGCCCCAGAAGATGCCGAGGGTGCCCCTGACGCCACTGTTGACGCCGTGGTCGAGACTGCTGATAACCAGGGAGATCGGACTGCCGAGGCCTGAGCTACTTTTATTTTTTTTGTAGTTTCGTTATGTATATATTTATTTTTAATTGCCGTTTGGCAAAATTTCTGAACACATTGATGCCGAGGGCATCTTTTTAATTCAAGTTATCTTTTGTTTATTTCACTTGAATTCTATCCATGCTTGTTACTGCCGTAGGCTAATAAATGTTTTTAGGATAATTACCGATTGGGCCGTTGGCCACTTAGGAATTTGTTTGCTTTGGATTTAGCCAAAGTGTCTCCACTATCGGTAGACAAACCCAAAGGAACAAGGCCCCATTAGCCTTTCGTCCATAGAGATGCCGTGGGCAAGTCTAGGATACCGTATAGTTTTGTAGCTATGCGCGATGAGAATACCGTAGGTAATTCTGGGGCATTGTACTGCCGTAGGCTCGTACCTACTGTATTAACTTGGAATAAAAATTGACAAGCTAAGTTGGAATCGGCAGTAAGCATGTAGTGGTGTAGCTTTTAATTGCCGTAGGCAATGTTACTGTGGCTCATTTTGGTGAGCCCTACCGAAACAATTTTTTGAACGAATACCGCTAGGATATGACGTTCTGAATATGTGGAACTGAATAATCTCGTTTTATATATATATGCCGTGGGCAAAAATACAAATTCCGCCCCTGCCGTTAGCTAGGGGACTTTACTTAAAATAGCTCTTGAGGTGATCCACATTCCATGGGTGACCGAGGGTCTTCCCATCTGTGCCTCGGAGTCTGTAAGTACCGGAACGTAGGATGTCGATGACTTCGTAGGGCCCTTCCCAGGAAGGTCCGAGGGTTCCTTCCGTTGGGTTTTTGGTTGCAAGCGAAACCTTGCGCATAACCCAGTCCCCGATTCTGAAAGAGCGCGGTTTGACCATTGAGTCGTAGTACCGAGAGACGCGCTGTTTATAAGCTTCGTTCCGAAGGTTGGCTACCGTTCTTCGTTCCTCGATTAAATCCAGGCTCAACGCGAGTGCCGCCTCGTTAGCCTTTGGCTCGAAGCTTTCCGTTCGGTAAGAAGACTCACCGATCTCAACTGGGACAACGGCTTCTGAGCCGAATGCAAGGCTGAAGGGAGTTTCACCTGTGGAGGTTCGGTAGGATGTTTGTATGGCCCACAGAGCTTCGGGAAGCTTCTCCGGCCAAGCGCCCTTGGCACTATTGAGTTGCCGTATCAAGAGTTTCTTAATGATTTTATTTACGGCTTCTACCTGACCGTTCGATTGTGGGTGAGCTGGCGAGGCGAAGAACAGGTTGATTTTGAGGCGAGTGCAGAACTTCCTGAAGAGCTCCGAATCGAACTGTCTACCGTTATCAGTGATGATGGCGTAGGGAATGCCGAAGCGGCAACAGATATTGCTCCAGACAAATTCTTCGACCCTCGCTGCCGTTATGGTGGCTAGGGCTTCAGCCTTAA